AAACATTTCCCAGAGTCCTGGGCCGTGAACTCCTGCCAGGGACGGTCAGGAGAACAATGCGAGGAGCAGACCATGGTGCTGACCATTGGCTCACAGGTGCTACCTACTTGGAAGGAAGCTGCTGTACTTTCTTCACCTGTGCTAGGAACCAGCTGCTTGTGAACATTTGAGGGCAGCAAAGGGACCATCACCCTCATGCTGATGGGGAGCAGGACACAAGGCCACCTGCTCCGTGCCCCCCCCGGTCCCTGCATTCCCCTCAACTGGTAGGCGGTGGCAGAAGAGGAGCCAAGAACTGGCCTGGCCAACTAGATAAAGCCCCTGGCCGTGCAGAACTTGCGTGGCATTGCAAAGGGAGCCCAGAGAAGCATGGGAAGGCTCTCGGGGAGCCCCACAGAGCTCGTACACCCGGCTTCCTTATTGGCTTGACACTCGGTCTCTGCTCCAGAGCTATGTGGCCCAGGACAACTCCTGCCAGCAACCAGAGAAAGCCACAGAAGACAAAGCTGGAGTCAGCAGAGCCTGCTAATCTCACTGCTGCTCCCCCACTGCAGCACTTGGGCTCTCTCTACCCTCCCGGAAATCGGAGAGGAATATACCTAAATTGCTAGCCATTGCAGGTGGCACATTTGGCTGGTGTTTGCAACTCTTTGGCGCCAGGTACCTTAGTAAAAAAAACAGTAACCACAGCAACGTGAGTGCAGGGAAACCAGCCAGGAGATGTGTCCCCTTCTTCCCCTGCTACTAATACTGCTAATTGAAAGGAAACAGAAAACCCATCAGAAGTCATCCATCCTCCCAAGATAACAACACCCCCTGCCAGCACTATCAGGGCAGCTGCAAAAAGCTGCTTATGAGGGATTAGGAGGAAAATCCTTTGCAGCCCACTCTGTGCCAAAGGACAAACACGGCAGAGGCAGGGAGAGTGCAACAGGGACCCGACGTCCACATGATCTGCTCCCTCAGCCCTTGACAGACCCAGGATACCCCAGAAACCACGTGTGGCTACGGCAGCAGCCTGGGTAATCAGTCACCCTCTGCCATCAAAACGACAGGTCAGACATCCCGTCCTTTGAGTGCAACAGCTGCCTCCTGGAATCGATGGCAGAAGCTTGCAGTTCAGCCGTGAGGCAAAAAGAAAGTAAATTATGACAAAATCCGTCCATCCTGCAGGACCCACCACCTTCCTAGTGCCCCAGGCGTTTTCATTTCCCCTGGCTTGTCCCCCACCCAGAGACATCCAGCAAGAGATGTCACCACATTAGGACCTGGTGGGTCTCGAGGATCTGGTCACCACAGCCAGAGAGGCTGGAGCACAGAACAGGCATCATCAGTGTTCAGTTATAGGCCCATTTCCCCACGAGTCCATATGTGCACATGCAAGAAGCAAACTCAAAGTGGTTTCCCTCTCTGGGAAAAATGCTCCTCAAAATCCAATACCTTTTGAGAAGTGGCACTGTAGAAGAGAGATGTCTTCAGAGCTCTTCTCTCTGGAGCATGCTGCAGTTTGGCGTTGCACACTACCCTGGAAATGCCCTGGTCTGCTCTATGCCAGATCCAGCAGCTTCTAGAGATACCAGGGGATACAAGAGGCAGCCGAGCCACACGCTAACCGGGGAATCCATCACTTCCAGCAACCTGGCAGATGCCGGGGTGGTTGTCTCACCTCCATGACACTTCACTGTTGCATCTTCAATGTCCTCAGAAAACCGTCCTTTAATGGAAAGGTGATGAGGAGCTATTGGCCCGTACTGTGCGGACAACTGCAAAGATGATTAACACAATGACCCCCGGCAGCAGCGAGTCCTGCACCATTCACCTTTAATCGAGCTGGACCTCCTGCAGCTCTTCTCTATTGGAGTCATCCATGAGGGAACGAGCATCCCTGCCCATATTGGCTTCTCTCTTCTAAAGGGAAAAGAGGGGTTGAATTGTAAATCCAGGGCTAAATAAACCCCACAGCCTTCAAGGCCACTCAACTCAAGTCAAATCACAACATGGAAAACCACAAATCTTACAACCAGAGCACTGTGCTGGTGGGGATGCTTATGCAGATTGCGAGGCAGGGTTTCACTGCCTTAATAATTCATTTGCCATCCAAAAGATTAACTCTGGACTTCTTTTGTGTTTTTTTAAATTTGGTCCACCACAGCTTTCCTCAGATGCCGAAACTTGCCGTTTAAGTTTAGAGACATGCACAAAGATCCCACTGACAGTTGCATGGTTGCTGTGTCTCAGTGATTTCCATCTCCAATATTTTTTCACTTCTGAAGTAGAGCAGAGCTTTCCAAATGCCAGCTCATGTTTGGATATCAAACACTATTCTTTGTAGCTAAAACCATGAGAGAGTCAGAGAGGCAGACAATTCTGCCTTTGGAGCTGGAAGAATGAAAACTATTTGTAGATACTGTGCCAAAGGATTTAATGAATGCTCTTGATTAATGTTATTGGGCAGCTGTAGTTCTTGTGTTAGGAGTACTGGATGAGTTCAAGAAACATACTATTAAAAGCCAACTGCAAAACGGGTTCTGTTTCTGCCCAGGCCAGAAGAGACCCTTTCTACCTCCCATCGAGTGGTAGAGGGCAGCAGGAGAAAGGAGCAGGAACAATTTATTCTGCTCACTGAAGCAAGTGTAATTGAACACACCGCGTTCAAGAAAATGCAAGTTTTACAAAGTCACTTTTCAGAGAAGAACTGCACTTTCATTAAAGCTCATTGTTTATGCCTTCCCTCCGTGCAGGGGAGCAGCAATAAAGTATCAGTTATTCACTGAGCTGTGGCAATATCAAGAGTACTTGCACACAAATTAGGGAAATAAATTTCAGCTCCCTGCAGACAGGATGTCACACATTTTTCAACATTAAAAGCTAAAAAAATTTTTTTTAACAAAGATTAAAATAAAAGAAAAAAATAGAACTATACAAGAGTCTTAACTACACCCTTGCAAGACGGGGCACTTGATAAGTCTTCATATACCTGAAGGGCAATAGCACAGAAGATGGAGATGGGCTTTCCTCTAGGGGACAGGGAGAGGAGCAATGGCCTCAAGCTTCAGAGGGGGAAGCTGAGGTTGGAGATTAGGAGGAACTGAGCAGGCGGGTAGTCAAGCACTGGAGCAGGCTGCCGAGAGAAGTGGTGGGATCTCCATCCTGGGGAGTTTTCAAGAGCAGGTTGGACAGATGTTTGGCTGGGATGGTCAAGTCAGGGACAATTCTGCCTTGAGCAGGGGGCTGCACTAGTTATGTGAGGTCCCCCCCAGCCCGACTTTCCTAGGATCTTGAGATCTGCCTTGCATTTTGGGGCCACATTTTTGAAAATTACATCACTTGTTTGCCAGCATGAAAGGAGATTTCCCCTTCAGAGCCCAAGTTTTATCCTTGATCTGAACGCAGCTAGGGATGCTCCTCATCTATAACACGGCACTACCTAGGTTTGGCATTGGCAGCACGAGCAATGTTGAAAATGGTACTCATTTTAATAGACTAAGTAACCAGGTTTGGATTCAACTGTGAAAAGCAATTGGTTGGAACGTGCAGTGCTTGAAATAAGTATTTCAGGGCCAAGGGGTAATAGGGAGGGGCACTTTGAAATGCATCTGACCACTGGAGTAAAGTTTACTAAAATCTCTCTGACAGATGAGGGCAAGATGCTGACTGAACTATGTAGGTGCATGCATGTTTTGTATGCAATCTAGTCATGGCTATACTATAGGACAGAGAGCCAGAGGGGCCCAGAGGTTTGGGCAGGTGAAGCATTTAGTCTGCCTCCTCCCCAGGACACACACATGCTCCACGATTTACACATACCCCACCCTGCCATTGTACCGAAGGGACCAAAGCCCAGATCTTCTTTGTCCACCCCCTCCTTAAAACACAAGTGGCAGCTGAAGGCTGCTTTAGCCCTAGGAGGATGCTATTGTGCAAGAAGCCTCCCAAAAAAAACCCCTCAGAAGGCCCGTGCTGCTCATTTTACAGTGGCTTTTCACAACAGCCCTGCATGCTGTGTTAGCAACGAGGAAAGCTAATTACAGCCTGTGCTGAGCTCAAGTACGATCCTCCAGCACCACAGGGCATATGGAAGAGTATAAGACACAATCTTGAATAAAACTGAAGTTTCTTTACTTTGTTACTTTAACTCAAAGGCCAGATATCCTAGCACCTACCTGCTGCTGGCATCTTTCAAAAGTCCTCCCTTAATTTTTAAGGCTGCCAGAAGAGGATGAATTTTCACTGTGATGGGAGTCAGATGGGTTTTTTCCTCACTCCCTGGAAGAGGATGCCCAATTTCCCAAATGCTTTTCGTGGTCATGAAGGTAGCCCTGAATTTCAGAGTCAGGGTCTTCTAAGCTGGTATACAATTTGAACACCAGGAAAATGTTTTATGGACATTCTCTAACTCCAAGCACGATAGATATGAGGTGGGTCTGCTCTAAAATCATCTTAAGGAGCAATTAGGTAAGCCACCTAGACAGAAGAGCTTCATGATAGCATCATACATGCCCTGGTCCACATACCGTACTTCCATGTGATGTTTGGTTTCACACACTCTTCTCAACAGCTAATACATTTGACTACTAGGTTGCAGACAGTGTGTAGTACAGAGGCACCAAGAACTGTTTCAGTGTCAGATTCCTGGCTCCCACCTCTAATTAGAGGATGCAGTTATTTACACATGTTCCTCAGTGCAACTTGGATTAATTATGGATTGGATTTGCCTTCTAAACCTCCTGCCCTACAAACAGAAGATCGTCCAGTGGAGGAGTCTGTTTTGATGCCGTGATGATCTAGGAGAATTATGCATTAGTTTGGTTTGCAAGCAGTTAAAGAGCAACTGTCAATTTGTCAAGCTCAAGTGATGCTTCACAGCGACAGAGCTCTTCAAAGTGAAGACTACTTCAGGCAGCTGCTGCACATTGAAACTACGGCTTTAAACAGAGCAAAATTTAGGGCGTGCCAAAGCAACATGGAGTCTGAGGATAGAAAAATAAAAATAAAACAACTGCCTTTCAATGACACCCTCTTTATTCAAAAATAGATATCTATGAGACATTTCAGAATATACTGCTGCCACAAATGGCAGCCTATACTTCTAAATTAATTCCTAAATCAGTTCATGTACAGATTTAAGCTTTTGTTAAAAAAGACACACGCTTTGGGGAAAAATCTGTTTGACCTGGAGAAAGTTCCACTCAGGTCACTAGGTGCACCCTTTGCCCAAAAAGTAAAACTAAATAAAATTATAAACCACAAGACTTCATTTAAATTAGACCAAAACAATGCACACACACACACGTATTTAGAAAAAAAATCAAAACATTTCAATTAAAAAAAATACAACTCTCTCACAGAAAAATCTGCCCCACACAGTTTGAGATGCCAACACAATTGTCTAAGTTCTACAACAGCTTTGCTTCATTGTTGTCATATAATAGTTATGCAGTCAACTGCTGGTTGGAAATAATTACCAGTTGAAATATAGCCTTGGGCTAACTCTGCTGAGCTGGGACAGGACAGAAGTGCATCTTTTGGTTTGGGTGTTCGAGGTTTTTTTTTTTTGGCAAAAGCAGAGAATCTATAGCACTTAAAATGGTCCAAAAATATTTAGACAAAGGACTGTCCAACTGCATCAATTCATGGAAGAGAAGAGTTCTGCCGAGGGGAAAACAGACTCCAGAGATGGGCAGCAAGAAATTCAATAAAGGGCCAAAAAATCAAGTGTCGGTATGGAAAAGCACATGGACGTTTCGCCAGCTAAGCCAGAGATGCTAGTTTATTCAGTTTAGCTGAATGCTGAATAAGCCACTGAATTCCCTGTAAAATAAATTAATGAGCACACAGAATGAGTTTCATATTTCTATCAGTTTCCTCACACCTTTGAAAACAGCAGTTTAAGACTACAAGCGAGGCACAAATACAACACAGCTAGCCTTACTAGTTTTAGCCTCTGTATTACAAAAACTTACATTACTAGATCAAGTGTTTCCAGCACCTCGCAATATCTTAGCGAGAGGCGTTTGAATTTCAACAGGATACACTGCCAGATTGGAATGGTTTTCAATGAGCAGAGAGGTCTGTTTGTTAGAACTAATACACAAAAATTTAAACCTGACTACACCCATGGGAGCTGTAAAATACTAGCTGGCATGATTGTGGTATTAGACGAGAGCATTGTAAATTTTTTGTTTTTAGTTTTCTCCAATATAAAGAAAAAAAGTCAACTTACATTAATATGCGATTCAAAATTAAGCACACCTTCCTACATTATATGTGCATGTATACTGGTGTATGCGCAGAGACAGTGTGTGCCCACGTACAAGTCTGCACATGTTGATACTCTCTACACAAAATATTTATACCACATTTAAAACTTCAGTTCGGTAAATCACTTTGTTTAAGCTAAGGGAACTAAATTCCTTAAGATTTTCAATACAATCATCCTCAAATTCAAAGGAAGTGAAAGTGATGGGCTATCACTAGTTGTATCCCATGACTGTGGCAGCTGAACCAAAACCTTTCATGGACATTTCTTGATTATATAATACAGAAAAAATAAATGTGGTATAAATATAAAAGAAAGGAGCCGGAACAGAATTTACTTCACTCATGCTTGGGTAATATCCAGTTCTGCACTGCTCAGCAGAGTGTAAGTTCTGAAACTATCCCTTATCACAAGAAAATTGTTCATTTTTATTGCCCACGGTTGCGCTTTATACACAAAGGCACCATACCAAATAGGAACCAGCTTTGTGCAACTCCTACAAGAATAAGAGCAAGTACAGGTCTAACGAAAGGTTTGGGTGTACCATGGTTGTATAGTCGCATCCTTCTTGCCCTGGTATGGTACAGTACATACGCACACACCCTCCTGTAAAGGACACTAGTCGTTCAACTGCTCAGGGATATGAAGATCAGAAACCAGACTAAAACAAACAAAACTGATTCAGAAATAATCCGATACTTTTATAGAGAAAAAAAAGTGTCATCAAGTCCAACATTTCTTTGAAAGCTTCCAAGGTCTATGTGCACGATTTGTGACTTCTGCGGGAGTAACAAGTGCTAAGAGCAAACGGAAACTAATCTGAGTACAGGAAGTGTGAGTAAGATTTGTCTTTTCAAAATATATATGGACTCTATACCCCTCTCTTCGGAGTGCACACACTGGTGCACACGCATGCACACACACACACACACACACACACACACACACACACACGCTTCACCTTCCCCTCAACATGAGACAATATACAGAGAGAGAGAGAGCATGCACAGCTGGTAGTCTGAAAATAGGTCTGCATGTCCCTTCCCATGGTAGATCGTTGGAAGACTGGATTTCCAGTCAACACCAGAGAGAGTCTTCTTACTTCTGCTGGTACTAAGGGGAATTGGTAAATGTGGGCACCATTTGTCCTAGTCAGTTGAAAATAGGTCACCAGCTGACGGCAGAGGTGCCAAGCCTCCTGTAACGTTGGGTAGCAGCGACAGATCTGGAAGGCTCTGGATGTGGGATTTCAGCTCCTTGCGGACCTGGGTTACCCGAGCGAGCTTCTGTTTATACTCCTGAGGGGAAGAGACAAGGGAACGCAGATTAAGAATAGGTTTTTATAAATGCCAGCGCATGCGGTCTGAGCTTCCCAGAGCTCTGGCTGTAGAAGAAAGCAGAACGCTAGCTCTGACAATAGCTGTTGACATTCACCCAGCTCATTTTCCCGGCACAAACTGACAAGGATTCCACAAGCTGAAGCACTCAAGAGCCAGGGGTGGATTCAGAGGGGGAGGCACCCCCCCCTTCAGGTGACCACATCATGGAAGTAGCAGCTGGGGACTATTTTAAGTTCCCCAGTTGGGTAGGAATCCCCCCCTCCCCCTCGGTGTTCACCAGCATGTGCCCACTGCTGCCCCCGTTCACCTGCTCACAGGCTGCCCATGCATGGGGGCAGGGGAGACTTCAGAGCTGCTTCTCCCTGCTCCAGTTGGGCTCTGTAGGAAGCCAGGCTCAGTCGGGACAGTGACAGCAGCGGGCAGGTTCCTCATCCCTGCCAGCCCAGGAGCAGGCACTGAGGAAGGAAACTGCCTGCTGCTGCCGGTGCCACTGCTGCCCTTGGCTGAGCTTGGCTCCGCATGTAGCCTGGCTAGGGAGGAGCAGGAGCAGCTCTGAACCCTCCGCTTCATCCCCAGATCAGCTGGGCAGTGTGGTCAGCAGCAGGCAGGGAAGCGGTGAAATAGGAAGGGAGGGAACAGGACATGCTGCTGTGCACAGAGAGGAAGGTAGGGGTGAGGGAAGACTTACCTGGATGAGAAACTTAAAAAGACCTCAGTTGCTGCTCCCACAGTGCAGTCTGCCCACCCTGCGGTGGGGGGACACTGGGAGCAGGGGTGCAGCCGCCCCTGCAGTGCCAATCACTGCTTGCACATACCCCTCCTTTAGAAAAATCCTGGGTCTGCCCCTCCTGGACATATACACCTGCTACTGTTAAGGCAGTCCAGTGGTCCCTAGGGTGCAAGTTTCCCTGCAAACTAGCAGAGAGCTCAGTGGCTGGCATGCTTAATCACTACTAGAGGCACCATGCTCTTCACACTTCATTTAAGAAATCAATTTGAGAATCTGAAAAACAAAAAACCAGATTACCTTGGGTTGCGTGGCTGCAAAAGGGCTCAAAGCATCACAGAAATTTCCTTTAACTGCTTCCTAAATTAACAGTGCAGCTTATACTCTAGTTTTGTAAACATATTTGCCATCTTTCTGCCAAGTCTGGAAAGCAGCATGGAGACTTCAGCTGCAATCATAAGGGAACAAGACTCAACTAAGCCAGTGATGGCTAGTCTCATTAAGAGCAGCAAGCTTCCAGTTAGCTATTTTGGACTGTAAAGTTGTCCCATCCACCCTATTTTGTGCGTTTCGACTGATCGTTACACCCTGTTCTAGAATGATGGTGCAGTCACAGAAAGCAGCGAGGGTCTCCTCAGATATGAGTGATAGGGCTGGATGGGGTGTAGCTATCTGAAGAAGGTCAATGTGCCCTCTTACAGCAGAAGATCAACTCCTACCAAAAATGTATGTGAGAGACAAAGCTGTCATCTCCCAGCTCACAGAAATGTCTTTTCTTCCCTACGTTTTTAAAAAATGGCAACAAAAACAATCTAGGTAGATACTCCCTTGTGGGCTATAAAAGTAGCTGAGGATAAAGAGAAATCATTACTGTTAGGCAGTTTCCATTATTAGGTGCTTTATCTATACGGTATTAGCCAACCGATTACTGACCATAACAACTGTAGCATTAGACTGATGTATTAGCAGTAACTTGGAATTAACCACACGATCACTAAATGTGCATGCAAAAAAAAAAAATCAAGGGACAGAGATAAACAACAAAAATATAGTCACTGGCAATAGCAAAGGCCATACTGGAAGGACCGCAGATACCAAGGAGGGCACTTGAAAGACTTCTTCCAGGAACCTGGTACCCATGAATAAATACCAACACAGAAGCCCAGAAAGCAAACACTAGAGAAATCAGCCTTGAATTCCACAGTCTGAAGAAGAGTTTCTTGACACACCTAACCCCTTGTTGTGGAAGACCGAGGAAAGCAAACAGCCTGAGAACCCGGAAAACCACCTGACATCCACTCCAACAGACTGGCAAGGACTTTCTGAGACTGTTTGAGAAGTCTCTTGCATTCACACGCGGACATGTTAAATCAACTCAGTCTACTTGGAAAATCCGGTTAAGATTTTTATCCACTTCACAAAGTTACATGATCCCTGAGAGAGCCCTCTCCCTGCAGAAAACAGGGTAGAAGCATTAAGAAATCAAATGGACACAGAAGATAGTTATTTTAATCCATATTGGCCCACAGACTTTTGCTCTTCCTCATGTTCTAACTGCTTGCTCTTCAGTTTTAAGTGCTTTCTAAAATATGGTGTAATCTGTAAGAAACAAAAGTTATAGTTTAAAGAGTATGCTAAACAGGCCTCCACACAGTCAATTTTAATATTTACTTTGATTTCTTACTTAATTGGTAGGAAGAGATGAGCAGTTTACTACAGAATCCTTCATCTTTGAAGAAGAAAATATGGGTATTTATTAGAGCGAAACAACTTTTGGAAGGGTTTACAGCTTTAATCAGAATCTCTTTCGTCTTCTCAACGATAGAAATTCTCCCACCTTCCCCAAATGTCAAAGCAGAGAATTTCCTAGTCATGAGTGATGGGTTTATGTTCTCATCTGTTTACTGCTTTGAAGTAGAATAGCATGAATACCAGAGAGTCAATTATAATAATGCAGAATATTCCTACACCTGGAGTGGGAGTATAAATGGATAATATAAATTTCCAGCAGGCACACAAATAAGAATTTCCTTTTGCGTCTTCTTTTGAATCTGTATAGATTTGCCGTGCTGAGGGAATAACAGACCGTTATATATCAAACGCCTACGTGAACATACACAGTATAATGTTTTGGAAGGATGGGATTGCAATGAGGTTCAACCAGACTCATAAACCAAATGTGCTGCTTACGAGGCTAAAGTGCAGCAGGAGCTCAGGGGAAACGTACTCATTCATTTCATAGACATTCAGGCTGGAAGGAACCTCGGAAGATCAGAGTCCAGCCCCCCGCCCAAGGGGCAGGAAGTCAGCTGGGGTCACAGGATCCCAGCAAGATAAGCATCTGATTTACTTTTGAAGGTGTTCAATGTAGGTGCTTGAACCACCTCCAGTGGCAGACTGTTCCAGACCTTGGGGGCTCGAACAGTAAAGAAATTCTTCCTTATGTCCAGCCTGAAATGTTCTTGCAGTAGTTTATAACTGTTTGACCTCGTCATCCCTTGGGGTGCTCTGGTGAACAAATGTTCCCCCAGATATGGGTGGTCACCCCTGATAAACTTATAGGTGGCCATCAGATCACCCCAGAGCCTGCGCTTTACCAGGCTAAAGAGCCCCATGGCTCTCAGCCTGTCGTTATACGGTCTGTTTTCCTCACCTCTGATCATGCGCGTGGCTCTCCTCTGGACTCTCTCAAGCTTCTCCACATCCTTTTTGGAGTTGTGGAGCCCAAAACTGGACACAGTACTCCAGCTGTGGCCTCACCAAGGCCAAGTACAAGGGGAGAATGATGTCCCGGGATTTGCTTGAGAAGCATCTATGGATGCAAGCCAGCATTTTAGTCACTTTACTAGCCGCAGCATTGCATTGCTCGTGTTCATCTTGTGGTCAATGATGACCCCCAAGTCTCTTTCTTCCATAGTGCTAGCCAGCATAGCACTGCCGAGCCTATAAGGATGCTGCAGGTTTTTCCTCCCAAGGTGGAGAACCTTGTATTTTTCAGTGTTAAAAAATACTTTATACAGAGCCATCCCTTGAATGACAGCAAATGGAGTGGTCTGCTCGAATTCAGCAAACAAGCAAGGAACATACTGTAAAAGAGCTGGTAGTACACAAGTTCCTGTATATTCAGAATATAGACAGCAAAAGGTATTTATTGTCAGGTGCATGCTCACAGACAGAGGGGGAATACTGCTGAGTCTGGAGATTGCAGCTTCTTGGCAAAAGGCTAACTGAAAATTGTCATTCATAATCTGCCAGACAGTGATGGATACTGAGCTGGGAATGGAACAAAAGGGCAGAGCTCTCTCAGGACTGCTGAGCTCCACAACGCAGAGGAGGCTCTGCAACAAGACAGCCTGCCCTCCTCTCACTGCAGGCAGGAGAAAAATGAAGAAGGGCAAGATGGCCAGCGAGAGCAAAGCACCTGACACGGGGAAGGAGCCAATACAAATTCCAAGCGCAGCCCGCAGGCTGACATCATGGAATCGCAGTGTCGGGAGAGAACTCAAAGGTCACCTGGTCCAACCTCCTCTGCAAAAGCAGGAAAGCAGAAAGTCATCAGTGCAAGACAACAAGCACCACTATAAGCTCGGCATCAATTCCCTTTTTGCCTTCGCAAAAAAAGTCGTTCCTCCCTTCCTGGAAAGATTCTCCTGCCTATAAATGTTTGAAATGCCTTGATGAGCCTGAGAAAGTAAATGTCAATTCTACCCACAAAAACTTTCATCAAATATGCTCATCAGTCCTGGATTTCAGCACTGCAGAGGTGCGTAGACTCTGACTTTCTGTTCCTAAACTTAAGATGAGCAGCTTCAAAACATCCACCTGAGAATCGCCAGTTCTGAGCATTTAACAGTTGACCCTTATTCAGAGATGTGCCCTACACGGAGCAATTCCTGCACCCCCCAGTCCTATGAGGTAAATGCTTTTTATCTGCAATTAAATGGCTTTTGAACATGTATCAATGGCAAATTAAGTCAAGCCCCTTGAGCACAGCTCTACACTGCTTTGAGAGGTCTGCCCTACAGGTAGGTTAACAGGAGTGTCACCTACCCCAAAACTAATTGCTAATTGTATTGCAGGAGGTGCCCACAGACATGACCTGCCCCAGAAGCTGACAACCAACAGGGCTCAGAGAAAGTCAGAGATTGGGAAGGAGAAAGTACAGGGACATTTCTCAGGGTAACAGGCTTGAAAGTTAACTCGAAGGGTCTGAGACAGCCCAGAAGGATGC